TAAAATGGTTTCATTATTTATCAAATTATTGTGTATAAAAAATAAATATTCAATGAAATATATTTGAATAAAACTATTCATTGATAATACTATTTAGTTTCTTAGTTATTCTTTTTCTTTTATTCTAATGTCTCATCATTTCAAAACATTTTACTTCATTGAAAATTAAACTCAATTATACATATTTTGTAATAGAAAAGAAAATCTTGGTGTTTAAATTAAATTTGTTTAAAACAAATCAAATGTATTATATTCTTAATTGATTATACTGAAATACCACAATTGATGAAATAAAACAAATATATCAGAGTTAGAAAGTAGTTAATATTAAATTAGATTCTAAGTAATATATGATAATATACACTTTATTTTTCATTAATTTACTTTTATTAATTTATTCATAGATTATTATTTTGTTAATAAGATATGTAATAAATATTTGAATATATCTACAACAAGTATTGTAAATAAACAAGTGTTGTAATACAAAAATAATTAAATAAATAACAACTTTATTTATTATTTTGTTTTAAATACAATATAAACAAAAATATTTCATCAATTAAATAAAATGATTATCATATTATCATCAAAATGAAATAACTCTATTCATTATTTATTTGTATCTTTAATGTCTTAAATAATAATCTAAATATCATTTTTATTTTATTCATTCTTCTTTTGAATTTAATATTTCATTAGAATATTAGTGTTGTTCATTTTTAATCATTTATTAAATCATTTTATTCTTTATAAACATTTTATATTCTATTTCATTTAAATATTAACTTGATTTGTAATGTTTCATAATGATTAATAAAATATTCATTTAACAATTTAATCAAAAAATATAATCTCTTTGATAATTAACTCCATTCTTTCATTGTTTCACTTTTAAATTACTTTATTATTCTTTTTACTTATTGTTTAATTAAAATATATTCAATAAACATGATTTGATTATTAAATTGTTTGTGTTTAAATTTATTTAATGTATAATTCATTCATTCATTAATTCTCTCATCACCATTTGTTAATATCTGTTTATATTTTTCTTTAAATGAATTGAAGATAAAATTTCTTGAATTTCTTCTTTTTCTGTAATGAAAGAACAAATGAAACAAATAATTTTAAATATCACTTTAGAATCTACAAGTGTTGTTATTTGATTTTTTAATACTTTCATAATTACATCATTTTGATAAATACCATGTTGTCCAATAGGTTGTTTTGAACAATAGATTGTAAAATCCACAAACAATAAAAAGAATATCTTCATTTGTTATTTCTAAATGAACTTTACCTATTTCATATTTCCATTCATTTTAATGAAATCTTTCCCTTTCTCAATATTTTCTACTAACTCTTCATGATTATTTATTTCTTCTTTGAGTTCTTCTGATTTTATTTCTGTTTTTTCACTTTTAGATTTCTGAGTTAAATATTTATCACTCTTCTCTATGATTTTGTACATTAATTTACCATCACTCTCAATAGATTCAATTCCCATTTTTAACATTTCAATATCTTCTTTTGATGCTTTTCATTTATTATCTTCTCCTTTAAACCCTTATGAATGACAGAAATTTATCCATCATTCATATTTTCAATTTCAACTGTTTTCCTTGTTGATTCTTTCCATATTTTTCTGTCTTGTTGGTTGTCGTGTGAGTCAGCCATGAATACTTCATTTCAGTTGATGGGTAGTATTTAAGTAAATAGATATTGAATAGTGATGTATTTTTACAATGTGAATACGTGTTGTCACGTTTATTCTTTTTAAATAACACAATTTATTCATTTTTTGTTATTTGATTTCATTCTTTTTTAACTTATCAAATACTTCATTATCAATTACATCTATCTTTTCAATTATTCCATTGAATACACTGAATCAACACAACAACAATGTGGTGATAGTAATAACATTATTCATGAATCTAAGATGAAAGTATTTTAGAATGATTAAATACAATTGAAAAGACACTTTCTACATTACCAAAAACAATTGAGGATATTATTTCATCTTGTTTGAACAATTATCTGATTATGTCTGACGATTATGTCAATTCTATGAAAAGACTATCTCAAATGATCAACAAAATGAATCATTCAAATATCTTCAAATGAAAAGAAAGACATTAAAGAATATCATCTAAAACAAATGAAAGTAAAAGAATGTGTTCTTCTCCAGATACAATCATTGATGTTGAATTGAACAAATAAAAACATGGTGTATTATCAAGTGATATAAATGATTCAACAAAACAACGATGTATTGTTCCAATTTCTGAATTAGTAATAAACCACTAATTATTTGTGAAACCCTTCAACAAAAATCTCAAATGGTTATTGTTCATGAAGATTTTGTTATTGTTTATAATGAAATCAATGATGTTGTTTGAATAAGTGATGAATAAGTTATTTTCAATTGTTATAATTACAGTGTTAATGATTTAAATGTAAATGATTGTGGTTTAATCATTGTAGTTACTGATGATGAAGTATTTAATAATAACAAAGGAGAAACTGATAAAAATGATGGAATGATTACTTCTGGATGTGAGGTTAATAAACAAAATGTAATTACAACAAAGAGAGGAATGAGTTATAAAGATAGTGGTAAAGATTAATTAAAATTTAAATCAAAAATTCAATGAGAAATACCAACTACAATCAGATCAACCACATCTTATTTATTGTTCAAGACATTAGAACAAATGGTATTATTGTTTGTAACACTTGTTTAATGAAATTAAAGTTATTGACAGTAAAAATAGTGTTTATTTTTGTGGTATTAATGATTATCAAATTGAATACTCACTTCTAAATCAATTAAATTCATTAGATTCACAAATATACACTAACTATGAATATAAAATAACTTAAATTCAATACAAAACAATTTAAATGAAATTGTAACACATTTACATGAGTGACATGTCATTAGTCAATCTCAAGAAATGATAAAAACATACAAAATACCAGTTGATTCAATCAAACAAATATTTTATTTTTTTTATGTTTGAAATTGTTATTTTGTTTTCTTTTTATTTTTTCTCTTTTCTTTTTTTGTTTTTTAGAAATTATTTTTAATTTTTTGATATTTATTTCTTATTTTTATTCTTTTCATTATATTCTCTCCTTCATATCATTTATTTTAATTCTTTATATATTTTGATTAGTGTCATTATTTTATAGATATTTTCATTATACATTCTTTATGAATTGATTCTATTGTTATTATTTAGTATGATAGTATATGTTAATAAAATTAATATAATAAGAAAAGAATGTGTAGTACATATTAAATATGGAAATGTTAAATATCCAGTGTTTATGAGAAGAATGAATAAACAAATAATGAAAGTATTAGAATTAACAAATGATCAAATAATTTATTCTATAAAAATTGATGAATGTATTGGACAATTAAAACATAATGGTTATATAACACTTTTCTTAATAGAATCTTTCTTAAAGAAAAGAAGATGATATAACAAGACAATCAAAGAATATGAGAGAATATATTTCAATAGAAAAAATGATAAAATCATTCAAATGTTATAAAAATTAATCCTAACTAATTTTTTCAATAACAACAAATATCTTTTTTAAAAGTAAAATAATATGAATAAATAAAAGTACAATATGTTATAGAAGTAAAATAATTTAATGTAAATTAATTTGTTCTAATTTTTAAACTGATATTTTTAGTATGAAAATATCAATCAAATTATTTAAATTATCAAATATGTTTTCAATATGAAATTTATTCAGAATGAATATGTTAAAATTTATTATATTTTTAAACTAACATAAATCTAAATCCATTATTTGTCATCATACCATATTTTACACTAACAAAAATCTATCAAGTATTCTCTTTTCAAATTATTCTATCTTCGAACAACTGAAGTGAATATTCATTAGATTTTTCAATAATTCTTGTAAATATGAAGAAATATTAAAAAATTATTTATATTGTATAAAATTTTTTGAACAAAAATAATCAAAAAACAATTATGGCAAATTATTTTCTAATTTGAATAATTTACCACAATTGTTTTTGATTGTACATAGAAATGTTCTATTACCATTTCTACTGTTCTTTCATCAAAAATATGATTCTTCAATTGTTTGTCATTCCTTTAATTTTTCATTAATATTGATAATTTAAATAATAATAATCAAATCAAAACAAATAAAAAGGAGATAATTAAATGTTAATAATTTTATTTTGTTCATTATTCAATGTAGATTAATTGTTTTAACAATGTATTTTCATTATTTATTAGTCATTCTTTGATTTTAGTTGTTGAATTGTGATAATTTCATTTTATCTTTTATTTGATGTGGAATAAAGTATTTTAAACATCAATTATTTAAATATTCTTTATTTAATTTCTATTTGATTTTAATGTGTATTAAAATTATTCTTCATTTTCTTATTTTAAGGAGAATATATGATTACTAGTGTATTACTATGAGTTAATATTCTTTTTAGTCTCAACCACTTGACCCTTTTCCTTTGATAATCTTATATTATCAAAAATACTTGTATTCTAACAAGTAATAATAACATCTTTATAAATACCCATTCTTTTATTATCAATGATATCCCATCATTGTAATTAATAATCACTGTTATTCTTACAATATTGATTAAGATGTTTTTCTAACTAAATACAACATTATAACCAGTCCATAATTGGTAGATTTGAAAGATGGAAATATTTTAGGGAAATGTGTGGTGTTGTCTCTGACGTGCTACCTTCGAATCAATGATGAATAAAATAACAACAAAATGAAATATTTAATAATTAAGAATGAATAAAAATAAAAATAAATAACATTTTATTTTATTTGTTATTATTTATTGTTTTTCATAACAAATATCAATTAATAAAAATAGAATGATGATAAAGAATAAAAAAGAAGAAATTAAAATATAAAAATAAAAGAACTAATAAAAACAACTAATAAATAATAAATCAATAATGAAATTAGGATATAATGAAATAATGATAACATCAATGTATTTTAATGATATTAATGATTTTATTAATTTAGAAATGGGAATTAAAAGATTTAGAGGAAATATTGAACGATTTCATTTTAATCCAATTCCATTAGATGAATATTCAAGAAAATTGTTTACTAATATTGAAACATTTCATATTTATAATAAATATGATGAAATATTTGATGATGGAAAAATATTTAAATATGTAATATGGTATTTAGTAAGTTATTCAAAATATTTACAAGAAAAAGAACAAGGAAATATCTATAAAAATATAGAATATACAAAAGAAGATAGAAAATCATATGGAAATACAATACCATCAGAAGTTAAATCACTTGGATATGAATGTTTTGATGAATGTAAATCATTAATATCAATTAATATACCATCATCAATTAGTGAAATAGGATATGGTTGTTTTTCAGGATGTTCATCATTAAAATCTATTAATATACCATCATCAATTAATGAAATAGGACGTTATTCTTTTGAAGAATGTTCATCATTAACATCGATGAATATAGACAATCTACAATTTGTAAGTGAAGAAAGAATATTTATGAATGAACCAGTGTTATTTAGTACTGAAATACCAAAAACTCTAGAAATAATCAATGGAAAGAATATTGAAAAGAAAGATATTAATGAATTTATTATTCCATCTTCAATTACTAAATTAGGAAAATGTTGTTTTTATGAATGTTCATCATTAAAATCAATTAATATACCATCATCAGTTAGTGAAATAGGATATAAGTGTTTTAATAAATGTACATCAGTAAAATCAATTAATATACCATCATCTATTAATAAATTAGGATATTGGTGTTTTTATGGATGTTCATCAGTAAAATCAATTAATATACCATCATCAATTACATCATTTGGATGGGGATGTTTTTATGAATGTGGATGTGTTGAAGAATTAAAGAAAAATAAAAGAATACCAAGAGATTGTTTTAACAAATGGTGATAAATGAAATAAAAATACAATAAATGAAATACAATATAATTTGAAGTAGAAACAAATTATAATTGATTATCATTTATATTATTATTATTCTTTTCTTATTTATTCTTTTTGACATTATTCTTTTTTATTGTGTTAAAATATTTATTATTATTTATTGTATATGTTTATTATTTCTTATATCTTCTATTTTATCTTATTTATTTATTATCTTTTATATCTTTATTATTATTTTATTATTGTTGATTATTCTTATATTCTATATTTTAACTTATGATTTTCTATTATTAATTAAATGAATTTGATATTATAGATAAATAAATATCAATTTTATTAATCTATTTGTATTTATATAATATAAATATCAATAAAAATAAATTATAAGTTAAATTAAATGAAATATGAATATGAATAATATTAATAAGAAATGAAATAATTAAATAATAAGAATATATTTAAAATATAAATATCAAATACATGAATAAAATAAATAATATAAATAATAAAATATAAATCAAAATAAATAAATAAAATAATGAATAATAATCAAATATTAAAACATGAATATGTATTTAATCAAATATATAAACATATATTAATTACATATTTTAATAAATTTAATGAAATTTGATTTTAATATATATCATAAATGAATATTAATAATAATATATTCTTATATTAAATTATTGATTTATTTATTAATATATAAATAAATGAATAGAATTAATATTTATATTATATTTTATATCATAATATGTTGATTAAAAATAAATAAGTATTTTATAAATGAATATATTTCATTTAATTATTTTATTATTATTTCTTATTATCGAATTTTATAATTTCTTATTATTTCTTTTTATATTATTATTATTCTCATTTGATATATTATTATTGAAATAAATCAATAGAATAAAATGATAATGATGAATAATGATAATAAA